GGGGGGGGAGAGGGGGGAGGATGAGCAGGAAAGTGGAAGGGTGGGGAGGCTGGGGAGGAGGGAGGATGGGGAGGAGAAGATGGGGAGGGAAAGAGGGGGGAGAGGGGGGAGGATGAGCAGGAAAGTGGAGGGGTGGAGAGGCTGGGGAGGATAAAAAGGAAAGTGGAGGGGTGGGGAGGCTGGGGAGGAGGGAGGATGGGGAGAAGAAGACGGGGAGGGAAAGGAGGGGGGGTTAGGAGAATGAAAAGGTAGAAGGGGAGAGGGGAGAGGAGGGCGGGGAGGACGGGCTGACGAGGGGCGACGGACAGAGCAGGACCTGGGGGGGTTTGCACAAGGGCGCCCAGGCTCCAAGCTCCGGACCCGCGGGCCGGCCCGCCCCCTGCCTCGCTCCCTTACTGGCCGGAGCCCTCGGGCCTCGGTTTCCCCCTCAGCCCCTCCCCCTTCCCGCAGCCCCGGGCGGGGTCGGGCCGGGGCCCGCGCTCTCTCACCGCGCCGCCGGGGGTCCGGCCGGGCCGGGGTCGCGAGGCCTGGACGGGGGTCCCGGCAGTGGGCGCGTCGCGGGTCTCGCGCAGCGGCCGCGCGGGCGGAGGGGGCGCGCGTGGCCCGTGGGTCGCCATGGCCTGGGCGGGCTTCCCACGGGGCGGCCGCTCGTCGAGCGCCTAGGGAGGCCGCCGCAGCCGCAGCTGAGCCGCCCCTCCCACGTGGCCGCGCCCGCGCCGACGTCACGGCGCCCCGCCCCTTTCCCCGTCGCAGGCCGGGGCGCTCCTTTAGCAAGATGGCCGATGGCCAACGGGGTCCCTAGGGCGGGAGGACCAATTTTCTCTCTGGGAGATGAAAATCCTATTGATGGATACAAATCAGTTAAGAAGTCAGCATGGATCTCCTTAGCTAGTCCGGCTATGTCAGAAATGGCTTTAACTTAACTTATTCCTCAGTTTCCACATCTGTCAAATGGTGATAAGACTAAAAGTTCCTAACCATGGAATGTTAGAGCCCGCAGATTATCCAGTGGAACCCAGAGCCCCCAAAGGGGAGTGACTTGTGACAAACGTTAGGGTCCCCACCCTGCTACCATTGTAAAAGAAAAGGGTCCTCTTTTAGTCCCAGAGCTGATGCAGCCTCATTTCTTGCCCAGCCTTAACCCCTGAATGGGCATTGCCTCAGTCAGACGGAGACCTGTTAAAGAGGGTAGCTTGAAAAGGGCAAGGCACTGCACCCTGGGCCATCTCCAGCCCTCCTGATCTATATCCTGCCACTGGACCCAGATGACTCTGGAGGAGACAGTGAGGCTGGTGACTTTGCACAGCCCTGCCTCACTGTAATCCAATTCACTTGCATGTCATAGCATCACCTCCCTGATGTCATGGTCCTCTTCCAGAATGAAGGACAAACAACAACAGGGGTGATGCTCGACTTCTTCAACCCTTCTGTTAAGGACCTATTGCGGGTCAGGGATGGTACTAGGCTAGAAGTCCCTACATTGTGGGGAGGGGTGGGGTGGGGTGGGGTGATAGAGCTCTGTGTTATATTCTAGAGTATTAATATAATCAAGACTTAAAGATAAATGAGAGAAGTCGCTACATTTTCTTTTCTTAAAAATAAGAGTTTTTGACCTCTTGTTTCTTACATCATCATAGTTATCCCAAGTACTCCTCCCTTTCCCCCTCCCAGAAAGCCATCCTATACAATGTGTGACACCTGTGGCCCTCTTACCTCCATGGAAGGGTGGGTTGGGGGGAGGGGTGGTCCTCTCACATCTCTTCATTTGAGCCTCTCATGATCTTTCTATTTTGTTACATTTGCTTTTGACTTTTTAGTGAGTAGTTGTTCCTTCCATTTACATTGTTGCAGTTATTATTCTTGGTTCTGCTGACTTTGTTCTACCTCAATTCATAGAAATCTTCCCACGCTTGTCATTTCTTATAGCGCGGTAATATTCTGTTACATCCATGTATGACAATTTGTTTAGCCATTCCCCAATGGAAGGACTTCTCCTTTGTTTCCAATTCTTAGCTATCAGAAAAAGTGCTGCCATAGTTATTTTGTTGTATATGGAGACTTTCTTCTTATTAACTTTGTTGTCCTATAGGTCCAGTAATGGAGTCTCTGGTTCAAAGAGTGTGGACGTTTTAGTCACTTTGCGTAATTCCAAATTGCTTTCCAAAATGATTGAACCATTTCACAGATCCACCAGCAGTGTTTTAATGTGCCTATCATTCCACAAGCCCTCCAACTGTTGACTATTGCTGTTTGTGAGGTAGGGTGTGAGGTAAAACTTCAGGGTTGTTTTGATTTGTAATTCTCTTACTAGTGATTTGGAGCATTCTTTCATGTGGTTCTGAATACTTTGCAAGGCTTTTGAGAACTGTTTGTTCATAACTTTTGTGACTTATTTATTGACTCTGTAACCCCACTTAAGGTTTCTTGGCAAAGATATTGGAGTAATTTACCATTTCATTCTTCAGCTCACTTTACAGATGAGGAAACTGAGGCAAACAGGGTTAAGTGACTTGCCCGGGGTCACACAACTAGTAAATGTCTGAAGCCAGATTTGAACTAATGAAAACGAGTCTTCCTGACTCCAGGCCTGGCACTCTATCCTAGTGTCATCTAGCTGCCCCACCTGTTATTTATTGGGGAATGACTATTAGTATTATACATTTATTAATTGTTTATATATCCTGAATAGCAAATCCTTATCAAAGAAATTTGATACAAAGATCTTTTCCCCCATTCAGCCATTTCCCTTCTTATCTTAGGTGAATTGGTTTTGTTTGTACCAAAGTTTTTCTGTTTCATTTAATCAAAGTTATTTATTTTATCTTTTGTAATTGCCTTTATCTCTTGTTTGCTTAAGAATATATCTTCTACCCATAGCTATGAGATATATATGATCTGTTTCTCTTCCAATTTTTAATAATATAATCTTTAATATTAAGGTAAAATATCTATTTAGAATACATTGTGGAAAATGGTATAAGATGTTAGTCTAAGCCTAATTTCTGCCAGACTGCTTTCCAGTTTTCCTGACAGTTTTGCTCAATTAAGGAGTTTTTTTCCTAGGTAATTTATGTTTTACATTTATCAAACACTAGGCTATTAGGTTATTTTGTCTCTGATTCTTGATTTTCTAGTCTTTTCCATTGATCTCTATTTTTTAACCAATACCAGATGCCTTTGGTGAACATGGCTTTATAATGTAATTTGAGTCTGGAAATGCTATTCCCTCTTAGTCTCTACTTCTGTTCATCATTTCCCTTGACATTCTAGATCTTTTGTTTTTCCAAATGAATTTTGTTATTATTTTATGAATTTCTATAAAGTATCCCCTTGGTCATTTGATTGGTATAGCATTAAAAGTGTAAATTAATCTTGGTAGTATTAATCATTTTTATTATATTGGCAAGACCTAGCCATGAGCACTGAATATTCCTGCAGCTATTTAAGTTGTTCCTGGCTTCCTTTAAAGAACCCTTTGTAATTGAATCTATACAAGTTTTTGTGTGCTTTAGCAGGTTGATTCCCAGATATTTTACACATTTTGTAGTTATTTGGAGTGGGATTTCCCTTTCTATTATTGCATCTTGAATTTTTTGTTATATAGAAATGCTATGATTTTTGAGGATTTATTTTGTAGCCCACAACTCTGCTGAAGCTATTGTCTCAAGTAGCATCATTGCTGATTCCCTAGGATTTCCCAAGTAAACCATTATATCATCAGCAAATAGAGATAGTTTTATCTCCTCTTTTATTTTCATGCCTTTATTTTCTCTCTCATCTTAATGCTGTTGCTAGCATTTCCAGAAATACATCAAATAATAATGGAGAGAGTAGGTATCCTTGCTTCACTCCCATATTTATTGCAAAGTTTCTAATGTATCTATATTGCATATGATGCTTGCTTTTGGTTCTAGATAGATGCATTTTATGATATTAAAAAAAAAAAGGTCCCTTTATGCCTAAACTTTGTAGGACTTTTAGTGTAAAACAATGTTGTGCTTTGTTAAAGACTTTCTGCACCTCTTGAGATGATCATATGGTTGTGGATGTTTTAGTTCTTAATATGATTGATTATGTTGACTTTTGAACTATTTTGGCATCCTTGGTATAAATCCTACTTGATCATAAGGAATGATTTCTTGAATAAATTACTGCGGTCTGTTTGACAGGATTTGTTTAAAATTTGTTCATTAATGATGCTGGCTTATAGTTGTTCTTGTGTTTTATCTTTCCCTGGTTTAGGTGTGTCATATATTTGTCTCATAAAATGGATTCTAGTGAGGTGCTTTCTTTTTCAATTTTTGAGAGTAATTTGTGAAGTATGAGTCCTAATTGTTCTTTAAAAGTTTAATAAAATTCTCCTGTGAATCCACAGAGACCAGGAGTTTCCCCTCCTCTTCCCTTTGGTAGTTCCTTTACAGTTAGATTTACAGTATAGCCTTTTCTGATATTGGGTTATTTAAGATTCCTAACTGGACTTCTGATAATTCTGATATCAATTTCTTTTGTGTTCTCAGGCTTGTGAAGATGTAACTGTGCATAATATGTTCCAGTTACTCTTTTAAAATTTTTTTCTGGTTTTGCTGTAATTTCACTTCGTTCATTTGCTATTTTATTGATTTGTTTTTCTTCTCTCTTCTTTCTAATCAGATTAGCTAAAGGTTTATTAATTTTATTGGTCTTTTCAAAGAAGCAGATTTTGGTCTTACAACTTCTGTGGGATTTTTTGTTTCCAATTTGTCTATTTCTGCTTTAATTTCTTTTTTGTACTTATTTTAGGTTTGTTGGGTTTGTATTTTTTAAAATGCTTATTCAGTCCATTAATTTTCTCTTTTTCTCTTTTTTTTCTATTTTATATTGTTTTGAGGATATGATTTTTCCTCTGAGGACTACATCCCAGAAATTTTGGTATGTTATTTCATCATTATAATTTTCTTTTACATAGTTATTGCTTCTATGATTTGTTCTTTGACTCCCTCATTATTTAGGATTTTATTATTAGGTCTGCATTTGGGTCTATCTATTTTTTTTGTGGTCCCTGCACTAATGATTATTTTTATTGCATTATGGTCTATAAAGGATGTATTAACTATTTCTGCCTTTTTTTTTTTACATTGTAACATCTCTGTGCCCTAATACATGGGCAATTTTTGTAAAAGTTCCATGTGGTACTGAGAAACATGTACATTATTTTGCTGTGTCACTTAGAAGTCTTTTAACTCTAGTTTCTCCAGCAATTTGTTCAGTTCCCTATTTTTCCTTTTGTTTATCTTTCTGTTAAATTTATCTCAAACCAAGAGAGGAATATTGAAGTCTCACTATTGTTGTTACTACATCTTCTTGTGGCTCAGATGTTTTCTTTATGAATTTGGATGCTAAGGATTTAGGACCATTTAAGTTTATTACTAATATTGGTTTGTTGCATATGGTTCCTTTCAACATAAAATAGTATCTTTGTTTATCCTTTTTTACTTTTTGAATGTTTGTTTTTATTTTGTTCTTAGATTCACTTGCATAGTAAATTTTTTCCATCCTCTCAGTTTTATTTCATGTATCTTTGTTTTTTAAATGTCTTTCATAAGCAATAAATTGTAGGGTTTTTTTTTCTTATCCAATC